TGACCTCATAAATGTTTATAAATATGTCAACTTTATAAATATGTCAACAGAGAGTGTCAGGAGGACGGAGCCAGGCTCTTTTCAGTGATGTCCAATGACAGGACAAGGGGCAATGGATACAAGCTGGAACACAGAGGGTTCCACAAAAATATTAGAAAAAACTTCTTCTCAGTGAGGGTGACAGAGCACTGGCACAGGCTGCCCAGGGAGGTTGGGGAGTCTCCTTCTCCGGAGACTTTCAAAACCCGCCTGGATGTATCCTGTGTGACCTACTGTACGTGATCAAGCTCTGGCAGGGGGGCTGGACTAGATAATCTTTTGAGGTCACTTCCAACCCCTGACATTCTGTGATTCTGTGATTCTGTCTTAAATGTATGAGTTAATGCCACACAAAGAAATATGTAATTCTAATGAACCTCTCGTTAGCACTCTAACTTCCATAAAACACATAAAAGATTTGAAAAATAATGTGAGATGTCACAGTACAATAGTTATACTACGGTCACATCTTCTTCATGACTTTTCATCTTAATCCATAATTAATACAGTTTTTAAAAGTTGTATTTATTATCCCATGATGAGTGCAGAATGAAAAGTTTGACAGAGTGACTCCTGTGCATCACATCCAAAGTTGGGGTTAAGGTATAGAAGCTGTGGATTATTCATATGAGCTAATGTCAAGATCAGCTTTGATTGCGTATAGAAGGGCAGATTCATATAGCAAAAGCATTCGTCACTAGGACATTCAAGCTTATCAGTCCTTTTACAACAGCTCATTAAGAATCTGCTTTACTATGAAAAGAATTGCATTCAGGAAAACATAGTCATGAAAATATTTTGTCTGGAAACGACATAATTATAAATGATAGGATAAACTCATTTTTAAAGCATATTATGTCACATTAATTTTTGAAAGATGTGTTTTTTCTGCAGTTATAATGAATAAACAGCAAGAGCTTTTTGTTTTCGTATTTCTGGATTAAGAACCAGAAAGATGTGAAAAGACTGTGTGAGCTAAGCACATAGTGTTAGTTTTGACTGTTTCCCTGCTTCCAATCACTTATTTTACAAATACCAGCATGGCTTCATACATCATGAAAACATCTACTGCCAAATATTTCCCCTTTCATATGTACTTGGGAGAAAGTTTATTTCTTTATGTCATCAAGAGGAAACACTTAAAAAACTGAAATGCCTTCAGCTGTGTGCTCAAACTTTTGTAATTACATACATATATGTAAATATTTTTTTTTACTAAATTCAACTTAGTAGTAGTAGTAGTAGTATTAATATTATGGTAGTACTTAGAATTCAAGATCAAGTGCCAGTAGTGGAAAATACCTGTCTACCCATAAAGAATTTGCAAAATATAGGATAAGAGTTAATATTGAGCATTTTCTTGTTCTAATATACAACTGTCTATTAGGCCATAGTATAGACTTTTTGTTATTTATAATACTCTTCCAACAAGAAACGACTTACTGTAGCTGACACCTGTTTGACTGAGTCCAGCCTTCTAAAAGTTATTTGCTGAGCATAAGCTGCTGATCTAGAAGACTCCTCTTGTCATTCGGACAGGGTGACACTTCCAGAGGGTGATTGTTCCCATCTCCAGGTGGTGAAAATGCGCAACATCATGTATATGACCCTCTCCAAGTGACTGAAATCTTTCTCCTGATGTAAAACATTTTTCCAAAGTCTCATTATATAGTGACAGGCTGACTACAGACAGAATCTGTGCAAAAGACTCTTAGAAAGATGTGCTAAACTAAGTCCTAGATGAATAAAATTAGACAAAATTAATACCACTGATGTCTAGATCTGAAATTTTTATAGAAATAATCCCATTGGCTTTGAGTGCCAAAACTTCTACTTGTGTCTAATACCCTGTAATAAAAAATGAAAAGATCATTTTTAGAAGGGAATAACAAAAAAGTTAAATCGATCTATAACATGAGTGTGTTGTTTTATTTTCTAGACCTACAAAAAATCAACAACTTCTAATTCATTGGTAAGGAACTGAACCTGTAAGGGAATTATGCAGTGAGATAAATAAGGGCATCTTGTTTTGAGAAAGATAGCACAATATCCAGATTTTCCTCAATAGATTTTCAGTTACGGTGATTCAGAAATGGGACAAGATTTACAAATAATCAGTAAGGGTCTGATTACAAGCACTTGGATGACTTAAGTTCCCTGTGGGAATTGTCCTTAAATAGTTGGTCCTCTATTTGTCCAGTTTAGCACACACAGCAAGAATACTTTCCTTTTGGAACTATGTCTTGATGCAAGCATTTTCAGTCGAGCTCACTGTGACATCAGCTTGAAGTCAGAAATTTAACACAAGCCTAGGCATGAGGTATGACACTTCAACCCTAAACTAACCACATGTATCAATTAAAAAGGATTATGCTTATGGTGTCTGTAACAGTATTGTATATTGTATAAAACAAAAATGGTTTCCTTCTTTAAAAAAAGGGAAAACTGCCTTTGCTACCACATTATCCTTATGATTCATTATTAAGCATTACCTTGAAAACTTCAAATCCAGTGAAAATGTCTTTCAAGTGCATATTCTTCCATGTGTGTTATTTCTGTTACCATGCTTATGGTTTCAAAGATCTTTTTTTTCCCTTTCTTCTCTTCATAGGTAATGATCTGTTTCTAGTTGCAGTGCATGAACTGGGACATGCTCTGGGCTTGGAGCACTCTAATGATCCCACTGCAATCATGGCTCCATTTTACCAGTATATGGAAACTGACAACTTCAAACTACCTAATGATGATTTACAGGGCATTCAGAAGATATATGGTATGTCATACTCTAAATAAGCAATATAAGTTTTTCACTTTTTAATACATTTGATGTCCTCCCATCCATACCACCTCTCCAAAAGAGTTTATTAGTGTAGACTCTACCAGTTGTTATGCCAGAGGCCTTCTTGAGAGTAGCCCAAAGATTTTGATGAAACTCTTTTAGTTCTCACTGTTCACAACTTGCATTCAAATTTGCACTCAGCTGGAATAGTAATTTTAAATGCTTTGAAAAGCCGTAATGAAAATATCTGCAGAAAGATTCAAAACTATGAAAGTCCCAAGAAATGCAGTCCTTTAACCATAACGACCTTATTTCCAGAGTAGTCTAATCTCATGCAACTGGATTAATTGATTGCTTCTCAATTTATCAGTTATAATACTAAAAAGGTCCCTAGGTGTACAAAATTTGTGGTCTTACAGAAACTCTTTCTTCTGATAAATATAGCAAATTGATCTCTGAAAAATGTTATTACAAGCCAAAGATTTTGAGCTACCTGGGGGAAAAACAGACTCACTTCTTTAAAATATGTCTGTTTACTTTTTTTTGTGGCCGATATAAAAGGCACATACATTGTAAATAAATTCTGCATGTACTGAATTCAGTTTGACAAGGGAAGGTAACTGATTTTTTTTTAATAGAAGCAAAAAAACCACATTATTCTGATTATGGGTTGAATGTAACACTAAATCCCCTATTATTGTTCCTTACATTTCCAAGGACTTGGTTTTGGTTTTCATTTTAAATACTATGATTCTATTGGTATTCTGTCCTTTTTTTCTTTAAAAATAAATTTTATTTTTTCTCTCCTACAGTGAGCAATCTGTGGTATCTGTATGTTGATATTGTGTATCCAAAACATACAGTTTGGAACTGCCTTGCTTAATATTCTCCAGTTAATTCAATATTGGATTCATTTTGTACTCAAAATTATTTTCAGTTTAAAGATTTGCCAGTTTTATACTGACTATTATCAGAGCAATTTCTGGTTATCTTTACTACGGGAAAGGACAGCTGTGATCATGTAGAATTAATGTACTGCTAACTAGAACTCTGCAGCATCCGTGGTGTTTTATATTAACAAGTTTTAAAAATGTTATATTTTGAAGTACTGGTATATGTTTTTAGAGAGCATAAATAGCAATTTCAACATGATCGACTGATCAATTTTTATTTGGTTGATTTTTTTCCTGTGTGATTAGTTGGAAGTAAGGTTTTTTCTCATGATCTCATAAGTTGGTAGTCTAGACTTAAGGGCTAGACAAGAATACTTTGCTGAAAACTGACTGCTAAGTTCTAACAGCTGTGGGCTATACATTAAGAGAAATGTGTTACCCCTGGGAAGTAATATCTGACATCACCACCAAATGGCATGTGAAAACTTCAGTTTGGGGTTGAAAAATTTTCCAACATGAACTGCTGCACACTGATTCCTTTGCTCCCTTTAAAATCAAATGGTGATCTGGAATCATATGCCTCAATAAAAATGTCACACCTATTAAAATAATTACTTTGGTCTGTAGTATTCCTTGAAACACTATTATTAACTGTAAATTATAAATGTCAAAGCTTTAAAATTTTGAATTAAATTAATGCCTTGTTAAATTGTATGACAACCATTCGGTGAGTTTAATATTTCCTTACATAGTCCATGTTGATCTTTAAAAAGTATAATTTTTGGAAAAGTATTAGAAATTCAAGTGCCTTTTATGCAGTTTTAGAGTTATCTCGCTATTCAAAAGTATTTCTGAAGCTGGTCATGCAAACAATTTATTTTCTTTTAAGTCAAAATTGATTATGCATTTAAATGATTTGGAGAAAGGCCTAAATAGAATGAGCAAAATTGAAGTGTTCATCTTGTTTCTGGAAATATTACTGATCCAATTGAAACTTCTTATCTTTTTTAACATGGAAAATATAAGTAGACGTAGTATGTAGAAAGGTAAAGACATTTTTAGTATACCCATTGCAAGTCATTTGGTATGACATAAGGAAAACATTTTAAAACTGAGGTACAGAGTTCTAGTTTTTCACTGTAGTTCTTTTTAACCCCTTTATCCTCACAACAGTTCCTTTAATTACCAGATATCTAGCTTTTAAAGACTTAATGGAAAATAAAAATAAGAATTGATTAATTTTTGAATATTGGAGACAACATGTGAATTGTGAGTTTTGTTTATATGGATGTATAGAGTTTGAAGTCCAGTTTCAAGAGCTCCTATACATAGCAAAGGACATTGCGGAAAGCTGGGAATGTCTTGTCACTAGTGCACATGACACTACTTGACCTACAAATTGGGTCAGGAGGAAATATGAGGTATGCTACACATGTGTTTATGTGAGTTGATGAGTGGAAGCTAATAATATGGGTTGAAATTCTGTCAGCTGCTAATGATCTTATAAGACACAGATTTATTGTTTTTGCTTATTTGTATAATAATGATTCTGTTTTATAAGTTTGTATTCAGTTGGTAAGGTATGTGCTACAAATGATGCTGGGCTATACGTCCTTTGCAGGTTTTACTGGAACATTGTTCCAATAAGGAAAGAAGATTCTGAATAATGAAAAGTAATTATTTTCTTCATTTGTGATTTGGTCTTATGGTAGTAATTCATTATATCCTTTATCAATGCAGGAAAGGTATGTTAGGTCACATTTTCCATTCCCCTTCCACTGTGGGATTTGCACTGCTTGCAGCAGGTATTTGTTGTACATTTCTTCTTTGAGTGCCAGTGGTGGGCATGTAAATTACATCCTGGTGCTGTATTTTTAAAGGTCCACCTGACAGGATCCCACCACCAACAAGACCTCTGCCAACAGTGCCCCCACATCGTTCAGTCCCTCCAGCAGACCCGCGGAAGAATGACAGGCAACCTAAACCTCCCCGGCCACCCACTGGTGACAAACCTTCCTATCCCGGAGCCAAGCCTAACATCTGTGATGGGAACTTCAACACTCTGGCTATTCTTCGCCGAGAAATGTTTGTTTTCAAGGTAGGAGGCTGTGAATTTTTTAGTGCTACTGCGAATGTCTGCATTTCTCCTTTTTTTTTTCTTTTTATTTTTAAAGCACTCTCATTCATCATGACTCCACTTTCCCAGCCTGCTCACAGTTAGAAAGTTCAAGAAAGAAATTAAAAAACAAACATACACATGGCTTAAACATCTAGCAGAGGTCTGCTGTAATGTTCTGTTTTGGGAAAATACCCATATCAGCAGAAACTGTAATGCCTCAAAATGTGAGGGTAAATAAATGCTGCATGTTATAGAGAGGTAAAAAGTGTAAATCAACTCATGAGTAATAGGAATGATTTTGTTGGGAATACAGCCACTTCCAGACATGCAGTACATATTGTGTCTTCAACCCTTCTTTTTTTTCCCATGGAGCTATAATTTTAACTTTACAATTAGATCTGTCATTTAAAAATGAAGTTTGTCATTGTGTTGCGGTTGCATTCAAACCACAATATCTAAGTGCAGGTTTTTACCACAAAAATCTTATTGAAATTGTGTCATTGCTTATTTCCATCCATCTTCTTGCTCTGAGCTGAAAATGTGGTATATATACAACAAATCGAAATAACCAAACTGAACTGTAAGGCAATCATTTGACAGAAGGACTTTGATAAGACTCATGCACATCAAAGCTATCTTAAAAGGCACTGAATGTTGAAGAATAATTACAGAATCGTTATTATTCAAACTCTTAAAGCTTAAACCAATTTGCTCACAGGTAACGCTGTGCAAATGTTCTAGAAACAAGCAACAGGACGATCTATTATTTTGAACTACTGGTGTGTCAAATTTGCTTAAGCATTAGGAAGCACGGGATCTATGTTTTATAAATATATAATATGATTCTTTTTAACTTCAACATTGTAGGTAGAGAGGAAAGGTCTTTCACATGAATAGATAATGATTTTCCCTTCATCAGTAATTCAAGCACAAGGGAAGTGCAATGAATTTGTCCCCAAACATAAAGCTCCCAGTTCAATGGCTTCTCTTGTCCTTTCTGATAGGACCCATTTCTTCCTTATATGTTTTCTTTTTATGTAATCTATCACTCCAGATAAAAAATAGCTATGCTACCCAGGCTTTCACTTTCTTTAGCATACCTGAAAAAAATATGTACAAATAACTTTACATGAATTCATTCAAAATTATCGAGCTACCTTCACAACTCAATGGGCAGAAAATGTTTTTCCCATAAACAACTAAGGATTTTGCCAGCCCTGGGGTATCAGCTCTTTCCATTTGAATAGATGGTATATCTTCAAACACTGGGAGGTCCTGAACCATCAGTCTTTTTATGACGAAAAATCAAAGGTTAAGGAAGAATCTAATTTTCTAACCTGACATTAAACAGGATATTAAAATACCTACTTCAATCTCATGTCATCCACCTCAAGAGCAGTGGAACATATTCTCATTTATTTTATACATAAATCAATAAATAGTGAAATGCTATCCCACTAATACAAAATTTCCTGTCTGGCCAAGTCTCTGTTCCTGGATAAATAGATGCACCACCATTACTAATCACTCTTACCTATTCTGACTGAAAATACAAAATAAGCTTTCTCAAAAAAATGTTTACTCCTTACTGCCTTAACATATTTACTGTAGAGTTTGTATTCTTAGTAGTGTGCAAACTGTGTTTCAAAATTAAAGTTCCATTCGTGATCCACACTCTAATGATGGAACACAGTAAAACTTTGTCAGAGAAAAATGACCAGTAGCAGACTGCTTACAGATTTCATGTTTGGAGTCTGATTCTCTAAAACAAAGTTGCTGGAATCATAAAAGCAACATGTTGGCAAGGAAAAAAAGAGATGACCTTTGTCTTGATTGATTTCTTTAAGGGTCCCAGAGCTCCCTTTTCAGGGTACATGGGAGCATGGCAAGCCACAACTTGGGTTATGATGCAAAGCAACAGAGTTTACTTAAGTATACGAATGTTGACTTCGTAGTCCGAGTTTCTTTGAATGCTTGAGTTTGTAGGCCTTTCTATTTTGTATATTAATTTGCTAGTTAGGATTTTTGTCTGCTAAAGGAGTTTGGTTACCTGCTTTCCCCCCTTTGGGGGGAAAGGAGTGGTTTTTTGTGTTTGGGGAGGAGTATGAAAGGAGGAGAAAAAGGGAGAAAGAATAGAAAAGGCAGATGTTGTTGGTAATTTTTAACTTACTTAGCAGAATCTGAAAGGCAAGTTATAAGGAAAAGCTCAGCATGACAGACTGTAGCAAGAGCAGGGCAGGAATTAACTATCAGAAGGTATAAATAGGAATAGGGACTGAATACAAAGAAAGCATCCAGAAATAGAGGAAGTGAAGCTGGAGGTTCTATGGTCTGGCATAGTAAAAAAACCAAACCTCTTGGCCTTTGCCCCTTAATGCTAGCACAAAGATAGACTGGGAAAGCAGGAGTGATGGGCTGGAGCCAAGTACAGAGAGGTGGAGAAGAGGGAATTGATGGCAATACTGTACCAGGTGGAAACAATTAAAGAATTATGACCTTCATTGGAAGAATTATTGCCTAGGTAGTTCCCAGATGAATTAAATTAATAAAGTTGGAGGCTCTTCAAATTATATCCTTTCCTTTCTTTGTCTTTATCCACAGGTCTGTAATGATTGTGTAGTGGCAGATTTTGCTCACTTCCGAATATGCCATGTACCGATTTCAAATGGAAAATAGACACTTTTTTATCTCGTGGGCAAATCTCAGGTTCAGGAGCTCAATTTGCTTAAATAATCCTTGAAATTGCTTGCTACCCTGGCCACAGAGTTGAAGAATGTGAGCCCTTTTTGAATTATTAAATCCTAATTTAAACATAAAACTGACGCACAGAAGATAACAGTTTGAGATACGCTGTGGATTTTCATAGTAGATGACAAACAATAGTAATTTCAAGAAGATTGTTTTCTCTTGGCTGTTGAGCTATTAGGTGTACTTAAGAGTATCAGAATATTAGAAACAATTTCTGTGTTCAGTTAAGTTGATGAGCCTTGTCTGTGCTTTTAAGACTACCTGGCATTCTCAGATGGATATGTCCAGAGTAAAACTGAGTAAGAGTAAACTTACAGAAAAATCTTCACATTTATCCATCCCTTCTTTTTGTTTTGCCATCACTTTAACAAACTAACAATCCTAGCAAGACTTGTTAAAAATTATTGGTATATAACATGAACAATAAACCCAAAAGTAAAGCAATCAACTTGTTAAAGATTCCCTAAAGATCATTGAATAAAATTAGAATTTTGCAGTCCAGTTGTTTTGGTAGAAATGATTAGATTTTAAGGAAAACAAATTTTTTTTTCATGAAATATACATATATTACTGGCATATAAATGTATTGTCCCAAAATGACTTCTTTGTGAATTCTTTAAATTAGATGCCCTTAAAAGGCCTCTGCTACCTAGCCGTAAGGCTTGGGGACACAGTACATCGTAGAAGAAAAATGTTAGTTGAAATCAATGTATTGTAACTATTGGTTTCAGTTGTCATCAACTCATATTTTAAAGTGTATGAAGTTTGTCTTAACTGAATAATTTTTTTTTTAATTACTGCTATCATTTAATACATACTTGAACTGGCATAAGCAACCATCAGGACAGAATAATTTCTATGCCAAAATTCATGAGTGCCAAGTTTTTATCTTGGGATTCCAGTTAGCTTCTGTATTTATACTGAATGCAATTAGTATTTAGCTGTCACTCTCATTTCCAATCTTTTCTCCAGCTATTTTCTCTCTCTGTTTAGTTAGAACTCCCTTGCGACACAAGAAATCACTAAAAATGGAGAAAAAACAAATTGGTCTTCCTTTTCTGGGAAGGTTGTGCTGCATGGTATGACACTGTCTGCCTCTAATGGAAAAACGTCTCAGCCATTGTATATAGCAGTACGTGGTATCCAACAATACTATCTTCTCCTTAAAGTCTCCTGAGAGCACCTCCAGGGGTACTGTGTCATGAAAAGGAACCCCATTTTCTAAGGTCACCAAAAAAAAAATCCATTAGTAAGGATTTTACAGCAAGTATTTCTCCTTTTTTTCCCTTGTGTTCAGTGCAATTCACACTGCTTTTCCAGTCTTCTGTAGCAACAGTTTTGAAGATAACCTAGGATATCGCATCCAGAAATATACTTATGTTAACAACTTCTTAATCTTTTACACACTTTGGAAAATGTTCAAGGGAGACAATAGTTGCACTGAATGTATTGTCTCTCAAGGGACGCAGATTAAGTAACATTGGTAGCTTATTCTGTTATTTTTGAGGTGTGTATATCTCCTGTTTGATTGTTCATTGGCAACAAAATTACCTCTAGCTCTGCTTCAACAATGTGTGTTACTTTTGTTACTATCCTTTTTCTTTCTATCCTTTTCAGTTTCAAAGACTTTAACAAAAGCCTTAGTTTTTTGAACAGGTTACCTTGAGGAAAATAAGCACTAAATGTGTAGAACTTGTCCTGAGTAATCAGCAGGTTGGAGGGACAGGTCACTGCTCTTTGTGACACAGGTTTTTGCTTCACAAAAGAACATCTCATAGAGGTTGCCACTGGTCCTTTATTTCTTTAATACTAGATCCTTAAGAAACAAACAAATGGTTCCTATATAATCTAGAGTGATTTTAGTTTTCAGGTTGGAGAAGGTAACTCACTCCTTGAAGAACAATGTTTTTAACCACTGTTGTATACTAAGGTGTTTGTTGAAATGTAACCTAAGTATAAGAGAAAGAAGCTTGTCCATCAAACAAACAGAACTTACGGCTCAGAAAAAATGCTCCTGAAATGTTAACATTACAGATGGTAGAATATGGAACCAATTTTAGGAAGGCCTTAGCAGGCTTTGTTTTACTATTTTATAGTTATTTCTCCACAACTTGGAGAAATTTGTTTTCTGATTCTTCTTCTGCTAAGAACCATTGTAAAAACATTTATGACGTGCCAAACAAGCCAAGCCAATTAGGCTGTCGTTACCCCTTGGCATTAGTTTAGACTGC